GTGTTTGTAGATAGGGCAAAAGGATTAAGCGTTTTGAACGATGAAACTATCGTATAAAACCACGCGTGCTTGACCTATTACAACTTTTGTTTACTGGAAGGCTTGCTCTCCAGTTTTGTGTTGCTAAGCGGTATCCAAGCACGTGACCACTAGCTGCAAAGGGCCTATTGGAATTTGGTAGTTGATTTTTGATGAGGGGGGGGGGGGGGGGGGGAAAACTGGAAAACTTACATACAACACGGAGTATGGGAATCAAGCTCAGGTCGCAATGGTGGACGACAGCGCATTACTAGCGCACACAACCCGTTCTTTCCACATGAAAGTCTCAGAGTACTAAAGTCAGTTACAGATACCCAATTTGCTCATAAAATTACACCCAGTTTACTTTTGTTTGGCTGAGAAACTACAGAAATCTAAACTGGGAAAAGATCTGAGTATCTTAATGTGAATCAGTATTTATTTTCACTGTTTTATTGATATTTCCATTTTGATTTGTTTTGATAGATGCCGTAGTACGATATATTGTTGATTGGAACACAAATGCAAAGAATACCCACACATCACAGACAGGTATGAAATTTAAGGGAATGCAGCTCAGTATGTCAGTACACACCACAGGAACCCCACCCATTACCTACACATCACAGACAGGTATGGAGGGAATATGTCAGTACACACCACATGAACACCAACCATTACCTTCACATCACAGGCAGGTATGGAGGGAATATTTCAGAACACACCAAGTTTCTTCCAAGCTCTTATTGAATGAACCTTTATACGATCTTAAATTTTATGGTTCCTGTGCATTTTTGATCTGTGGTTGAGTTAGACTTTCTTTATGTTCAAAACCCGTCTTAAAACGTCACTTTTAGGGCAGGCTTGTTTCATTATATTAATTATTTTTTTTCTGTAATTGTTTTTTTTTTCTTTAGACATTCTTTTTATTTTGTCTGTTTTTTATTTGTTTGTGATATTGTAATATTGTTGTTGTTGTTGTTGTGTTGTTATTATTATTAAGAAATAATTTTGAATAGTCTCTTATAAACTGCTCACACATGCATATGATTATGAACCATAACCTGTATCTTACCACCATTAACTTAATTCTATTTTGCTCTCTAGTTCTTTCAATCATTTTGAAGAGTAAGTCACCTTACGATCTCATGGAACGACCCAATATAAAGGAGACTATTGAGGCTATCCTGCCTTACACAGGTAATTGACCCAAAGCAACTCAGTCGGAGGACAAAACAATAGATTTTAATTCTCATGGGAGTAAAAATAGATCCCTTCAGAATGGGCATAATGTTTTGCCCATTTCAGACCACGTGCCACTCTTGAGATTAAGATTTTTTGTTTGGGATGTATCCATATTTATGTGTTTTCTCATGTGCAACCGTTAAATAAAGAAATAATACTCTAGGAAGAAGCACGTGGTCTGAAATGGGGAAAAAGTGGATTAGGTCTATAGGGATACAGCTCAAACAAAGAATCTTGTTCTTAAGGGAATACAGGTGGTCTGAAATGGGAAAACATTATGCTCAAGATGAAAGGTTCTATTCTGTTGTTTTGTCCTTCAAATTAGCTGCATTGGGGAATATACTAGGGGTTTTCACAAAAACGAACGTTTTCAGTGGATATCAATTGAGACATTCACGGCATAGACATTGTCATGGAAACATTCTGATTGACGTATAACAAAATCTTGTTTATCGCAACTAATATCACCCTTATCTTATTTGACTAAAATAGTTATTATTTAGGTCTTAAACGAATGGGAATTTTTCAATTTCTTTATAATCGCCACCCGGTTGGCTCAGTTGGTTGAGCATAGGGCTTTCGTGCGGGAGATCGGCGTTCGAGTCCCAACTGGACCAACGCTCAGGGTCTTAGAATAACTGAGGGAAGGTGCTGCCATCGTAATTGCAGCTACAAATGGTTAAACCTTCACGTTGCTCTCCACCTCGCAACGGAGGGACGTCAGGTAACCTTTCAAACGTTACTGATAAACGAAAAGATAGTACTAAAGGGAATGACATGTTCTGAAATGAGTAAACATTACACCCAAGCTGATTCGATAGACTTCTGAACCACCTTGTATCTTATAGTAGTATATGCAGCACACCAGTCATTGGTCCTCGCGGGATGACGTGCAGGGAAAACTGTTCGTCCAAAATACAGTTATTTCGAAAGACGTTGTGGTCGACCAACTCAAGCGTACGCGATTAGTTCTGCCTCGTGTTTACAGCACGAACCTTCGTAGGCGAGCGTGAAGTTTCGAAAGAAACGTTTGTTAATGCTTTCATATTTCGAGATAGTGAACTAAATCATAACTACTCCTTTTTCTTTCCCTAAACCCAAAGACCTGCATTTAATGGGTTATTGCTCGCCATTATTATCTTATTACTAGCAGAAGCAATGAATTCAGAACGTATATTTATCTTTTCGGTCTAGTCGTGCAGGCTTGAGCCGGTCGACGACAACGTTTTTTGAATCGACTGTATACTGATCAATTGTATGTAAAATTGATGTTTTCTAAATATTACCGTTTTATCTTTGACTGTAGAAAGACACATGAGAAGAATGAACCGACTCTTACAAGTGAGTTTCATTTCATGCCTAGTGTTATTGGAATAGAATGGGGGTTCAAATATCTTTGGAATTAAAATCTCCTCTCTATTTGGCGCTATATTGGCAAAGAAAAAGTACTCCAGCAACAGGAGTTGTTTGAAATGGGGGAAATTACGTTTGATTTCATAAAAATGAAAAAAAAAGAGACATGTTTGCTGATTGTAATTTTTTGATGACGTGAAGATTATGTAGATATTGCATGCGTTTTTACTAAGACTTGCTTTTATGTTTTAGCAATCTGAATTTTTGGAATACACATGGCAGCGAATGAAATTGTCATCTGCCACAGATAGTCATTTACAAAGGTATAATCTACACTCCGGGAATCATTGTGGGGTTCAAAAACATAGAACAAGGAAGCTGACACCGAAATGTATGTTGGGAAATGATACATTGTCAAATAATCTAAAAAATGCAAGTTTAAAAAGTGGCGCTCAGGCTAAAATTTGCACTAATCTGATTTTTATAATTATAGTTGAGTCATATTATACTCGAATACCTCAATTATTCGGACTTTCTAAAATCGGGGCGTTTTCATCCACTTTCCCATGTATTATTAAATTCAGTATTCAATAATGCATTGTACGTATTAAAATGGATGTATATGGTGTCGTGCAACCGGCCCATAACTTGATTCTAATTGATAGATTTGAAAACGGTTGTCTTTGTTGTCTTTGTTTCACAGCACACAAGCCTCGACGTCCGAAAGAACCTGTGAAGAGTCTACTTCTAGGATCATTCCATCACCACCATCACCAACATCAACAACAAAAGTAACAGATAAGACAGTAGAACCTGCTGATGATCCCGCCATCAAAAGTAAAACACTTCAAGTCTTTAACTCGTTAGAGAAAGAAAATAAGGAAAATGGAAAAATTGATTCTGAGAATGAGGAGAAAAAGGATGAAGAATTAAGCGAAGAAAGTAAAAAAACGAGTAAAAAGAGGAAACTAGCAAACGAAGTGAAGGGGGAAAAGGATAAAGCGAAAAAGAGAAATACGAAAACCCTTCAACAAGTAGCACATTGACCTTCTAATAAGCCTGAAGCGAGATGACATTTTACCCCCGTCTCTATACCATAATAGTTTTTAAAATTCTTTCATATAAATTTTTGATTCCTTAGAGAATACAGGAACAATAGTCATAATTAAAGAACAAAAGCAGTTTGAAAAGGATTATGGTCTCGAGACGGGGGTAAAACGTCATCTCGCTTCAAGTTTATCAATGTATGAATATGAAACAAGGCAACATCATTGATGTAAAATAAATAGAGTGCCGTGATTTTACTTCGCCCGTGAAACAAGTTGTATTACTTATTAACTAACAATCAAAATAAAACAAAAAAGTGATGGGATTAGTCTCTTCTACTTTGTATTATGCTTACTGTTCATTTATCAGTTGATATTTTCCTTGTTTTGCAGATATTTAAATATTTTAGCACTGTATAAACCTAATAACGTCGGGTTCAAAAAAAGGTTATATCATCAAAGCTAAGACCGAAGGGGATCATGGGAAGACAAGCAATTATGCTAATGTCATGCGTATTGCAGTTTTCCCTTCCTGAGCAAATTTTATGCATCATGTCTTTGGCATGTTGTTAATCTAGGTCGACCGACTTTGCTCTACCGTGCATTTTTGTATGTCTATATGCAAATATAATACTCATTTCGGAGTACCCAAAATCCTTTTTGGTCTTAGCTTCGATGATATGACCTCGAACCCGACTACGTTTTTTCAATTAGGCGTAGTGTAGTACAGTATAAATGTCTTTCTGAAAATATAATCGCGCCCCAATGCGCCCCACGTTATACCTCAGTTTTCTGGATTTCAAAACTGTGCTCTTGTAGTCTGATTTTCAACGAAGCCTCATTTAATAGAACTGTCATTGACTGCAATGACAAGCAGCCCTGAAGTAAAAAAAAAAGCAAATTAAACTTTGATATCGTTTTAAAAAAGCTACACTAAAAAGTGTAATGCATTTTATTATGTAAACTATAGTTGTTTACAAAGATTTCTACAACTGAGAAATTTCGTATTTCAACACATGTAAAAATACGATAATTTTCACATGTAAAATTATAACCAATCAGTTTGCAGTATTCTGTGACGTCATTGCTCTCACAGGCGCGGGAAAATCACAACGGTCGGCAGCTTTGTCTCGTATGTGGTTGCAAATATTGCTCACTGGATCGATAATTTTGTTAAAATTATCGAAAATTAAGTTCAAAAACATGGCTGAAAGGTTTGTCACATTTGATTTACAAGACGATTTTATCGAGGAGGAGGAAAATGCAAACAACAAAAAAAGACAAAGAACGACCTGTCGCTTATTCAGTTATTTCTCACAACTGAGAAGGAGACTCGACCGTTTGAAGAGATTTCCCCTCAAGAACTCTACTCGTATTTGTCCAGATTTTTGCTATCAGTCAGAAAGAAAAATGGTGAGGAATATGAACCAACAACCCTACGAGGGTGAACAGTGTAGAGTTGAACTTGATTTGGGTTTGTTTATTAGAGACCGTATTTATAAATTCGAATGTCGAATTGAACTTTGTATTTGGGATGTTTTCTACAATAAAATTCAATTGTTTTGAAAAAAAATACAGTGCTATGGTTTATATAATAAACAGAACGCTTGGAGATATGGAAGTTATCTTCTCGTGTTCAAATTTGATATCTCGCTCGTTCGCTGCGCTCACTTGTGAGATATCAAATTGAACACTCGAAGATAACTTCCATATCTCCGCGCGACCATGTATTATTCTCTATATCTTTGGTCTTATAATTCTTTAAAAGCTAAAATGATCTTGGTTTTCTACTTTACAAATTATGCACTTGGTGTTTTGATTAAAGCAATAATTTTGAATGCTAGTTTTATAATTCAAGTACATTTTACTACAAAATATTCCGATATCCTATATACAAACAATTAGTAGTGAAAAAAGTATTATGAAAGGCTCAAAACATGGAGATTGAACTAGGAGATTGATGTACTCTGGATCCTAACGTGTTGCATATTACTGGTATTGCACAATACACCAGTAATGCATTGCGATCGGAGTGCGAACACTCCTGGACTTAGAGACACTAGAGTCTATTAACTGTTTTCTGTCTATGGACCAAACAAACAAAGATACGAATGTCTATTGTGGGTATTTATGGCTACGTATGCACTGTTTAGTGTCTATTTGCGTGTAGTCTATTCTGTCTATTGGCCAAACAAAGACACGAGTATCTATTTATGGCTATATGTATACACTTATTTCAATGAAGTTAGTCACCAAAAACCTAGAAAGCTATGATCGCTGATAACCATGGGAAATATTTCATACCCAACAAGTAAATGCTTTTGACACAAACTGTTCACAGGATGTCCAGAGGAGGTGAGACTGTAACTAGTAGAAGATGTGCAAGTCCATCAACAGTTATCAAGCGGTTGAAACATGAAAAATGTATCTACCCATAATCCTTGCCGGTCTCAGCTTTGTAGCTTTTTTGGTGATTAACTTTATTGAAATAAGTGTATATACTGTGTAGTCTATATGTGTTTTTTCGGTCATGGACAAAAAATCAAAGATGCGACTGTCTCTTGTGTCTATAATGTTTATATACATACACGGCCTAGTGGCTGTTCTCGATGGAAATGTCTATTGACACGTGTCTATAAACATACCAAATAGAAACTCAAAATACACGTGTGTTTATTGTGTGTATTCTTCAATATCTCAGCTTAGAGAGTTAGAGACATTAGATTATGGAGGTGGGGCAATTGCGTAAATCCCCCCCAAAAATATCGGAAAAGGACTAGCTATACTTAGGAAAAACATATCGCGCAACCTCTCCTTTCTGAAAAATATCAAGCAAACACAAAAAAAGTGCGTTTGAAATTGTTTTTTAAACATAATACACAAAGAGAACTTTTTCATGATATACTATTCTTATAGCCGATCCCCCTCCAACTCCCCATGCCCCCAAACTAAGGGCCGCTACGCAGGCTACTATTTTTATGGACCACGTCTATAAATACATGTGAGTTGAGTTTTGTAAAAATCAACATGTTAGTTGAGCGTGCTGCAAAAATCAATGTGAGTTGAGTTCGTGTAAACATGGTAGTTAAGTGTTGCAAAAAACAACATTTCTATTTTTCATTTATATGTATAAATTTTATGAAGTCGTTTTGAAAGCGAAACTATGTGAAAAGTGTATGTTCTGCGGAAAATAAAAATTATTTTTTTAAAAATCTGAACATTAATAGCATTTTCCAGAAAATGTGAGAGAAAAACTGTGGTATATAGAGCGCCTAACAGGCACTAAACGTCTCAGGGCCATTTAGATCGATTCGATTCGTTCGCTCACTTTAGACTATTTTCGCTTACATTTAGATCGATCACGTGATCTAAATTAGAGCGGCTGGAGAGGTGGTTTATTTTAGATCAATTTTAACTAACCCGATCTAGCTGCTAATGTGAACGATATCGATTCATATTACGTGGATCTATTTTCAGTACTTCTACTGAACGGTAGCTTTTCGCCCGGCAAAGCGGACGCTTGCTCGCGTTGTCTGCATGCTAGCCGAAATCGGTTTTGCCAGCCTGTACAAAAATTGCATTGTTTTTACCATTACAAAAATGGCTAAAAGAAGACAAACTTGGAGTTTTGAGGAAACAAACTTGTTTCTTTATGTTTGTAGTGAATCTAAAATTAAAGCAATGATAGAAGATTGCCCTATTGAAATTGAAATATTGAGGCATTTGTAAAGGACTTTGCTAGCGCGAAATATCAGAATGTCCTCGTTAACATCTATTGTATGTATAGACAAAATAGACACTATTAGACCCCAGACAGTCAATAGAAATGTATTGTGTAATACATAATAGACACATGCTGTAGAAACATGATTTTGAATTTTTTACTTTTTGATTCATTAAAAAAGGACCATACTTCCAGACATCGAGTGCTGAACCGTCGTATGGCAGCGCGAAGCATTTACGGCTACGCCAGAGATTTCGGCCCCGACACCGCTATATCCAGTGACTAATCAGGAAGCTCGGCCGAAGCCTAAGGGAGAGGTTAGTCGGCCCCGAGACCGTAGATGACTAACCACTTGCTATGACCAGCAAACTCAAAAATGTTGATGGTGACGCTGATGGCTTTGAACAAATATTCACTCTTTTCCATGTGGGATGCGTCAAGAAAACTAAAAAGAAAGTGCATCATAGTAAAATAGACTTTTTATGCATATTGTATGTATTCTGCACTATTGTACCTCGCTAGTATAGCATCAGCATACAGTATACAGTATACTCTACTGAATAATGTAGAAACGTAGCGAAACGTTGAGTGACAAGAAAGTTTTGTCTTTAAAAGCAATTTTGAATATGTTGGAAAATTCACGGAAGAATAGCACTTTGAGCATAAAAGCAACTAGCAAAAAACTTCCAATGCATTATAAGACCCCGTCCACACTAATGTGTTTTCGTTTGAAAACGCAGACATTTCGATGCGTTTTCCACACTAAAACGATCGAAAACGATGAGCATAAAACGCTCGAAAACGATGAGCGGTAATTAAAACACGCATTATCCATTGATTATCCCAACGAGATAATGTAGGCATATCATACGTTATCCCTGCGTTATCCCAGGTAGGATAACTCGGTAAAACCTGCATTATTTCTTGATTACGAGATAAATAAGGTAAGTTATACGTTATCCCTGGGTTATCCCAGTTGGGGTAATTCTGTAATATTGTGGAACCAAACTAATTCAGAGCGAATTTTGGACAATTTTGTTCTCGCTCGCTTCGCAAAACAAATGCGTCAATTTAACTGTATTTTTCATATAATGTACTTTAATTATCCTAGATTCTAACAGTGTATTTTATTTTAAGATTATTTAAATGTTTAGCCTATTACGGCCGAAAATCAAACAGTGCTATTTTTAGTTTTTGGCTTTTTTCTCCTCATCCCCAGGTACGATTTTTCTGAAATTTTCAGAATCTTATACCTAGTACTATTGCAGCCTGTGTATAAATTTGGATGGAAAGTCTTGGGCAGAAAAAAAGTTATGACGCCGCTTGCAAATTCGATCCAAAATTTGAAGCATATAAGACATCGCGCTTTAGAAACATTCCCATTGAATGGATTGCCTTGAAGTTTTCACATACCTATTTCCAAGTATTGCGGATGAGCCTTACGAAAAATCAGCATCAAATCTTAAAAACTCATCGAATAAATGATTTTTTACTAATTGTCGTTGTAAACCTCAAATATTAGAGTTTTGCTAAAAATCACATTTTCGCCTTTTTCTTCAAAACGGCTCCAAGTTTTTTCTTTAAACTTCCTACATCAATAGACCA